GGTGGGGGAGGTGGCGGGGAGCAGATGGGTCTGTGGTTTGATTTCCCCAGCAGGTGTTTCCCAAGCTTGGTGGGAACAGAGGGGAGGGGGGGCAAGGGGACCTCAACTGCTTGTCCTTAAGACACTGGGGAGGGTTCATTGTCTGCCGCTCTCAGCAAAGAAAGAACGGCAAATGGAGTCTACCCAGGAGGGTCCTTGTCCCTGGAGCTGAAGCCCACGCAGGGGTGGGGGTGTTTGCACTGCTTTCCAATGTGGGCACCTCCCTGGGGTGTGGCACTGAGCCAGGAAGTCCCCTGGGCCTGGGCGGATGCCCAGCTCCACCCTGATAAGGGCCAGCTGTGGGGCTGTGATGGGCACCCAGCCTGGTGCACCAGCTGCTTCTGCGAGGGGAGGGGCCGTCCCCAGCCTGATGTGGTCTAGGCCACACCCACTCCTTCCTCCGGGTCTGGTCCTGCGGCTGGCTGGGACAGGGTGGCCTGTGTTTGTGTGGGAGTAATAGAGGCGGCTTGGGCGTGTCCCAGGGAACCCTGAGCCCTCAGCCAGACTGGCTTTGGTAGGGGCTCAGGTGCCTGGCCCTCAAAGGATGGGGGTTTTATTTGCTCCTCAGAAAACAGGGCTTCCTCTCCCCGAAAGCTCGCTCCGCAGGTCACTGCCACTGCCTTCCCAAGTGGAGTGACGTTTCCCCAGGGCTGGTGAGAAACTGAGGCCCAAGCGGCCGCCCTCTGGGCCCAGGTCAGGGAGAGGCTAAGGAAGAACGACACTCAGACCCTGCCTCTCTCTTTCCCCTCTCTTCAAGGCCAAAAGAAAGCTGGACCTGGAGGGGATTGGGAGACCTGCCATCCCGGAGTTCCGGACCCCCAAAGGGAAGTGCATCAGAGTGGATGGGCTGCCTAGCCCCAAAAGTAAGCAGCACTCATGGGCACCGGGCGGGGCAGGGCAGACGGCAGCACCCCCACCTGCTGTTACATTTACATCGTTTCTTGTGGGTTCTTTCACTTGGTCCTGCTGGGTTGGTCAGATCATGTCCGTTTACTGATGGGGCCCGCTGAGACTCAGAGAGCAGACTGCCCAAGGTCACATCGCTGGGTCACACGTGGGACCGAGCCTAGAGCCTGGACATGTCAGCCACCGCTGCTTCTGCCACTGTACGCCGCTCTCCTGAGCTGCGCTGACGACCACATTTTATTTGGGTGCTTACTGTTTTTTAGAAGTTGAGTTTCCATAGTTGGGGCCGGCAGGTGGGGTAGGGGTTAAGGCACTGGAGCCCCACATGGCTGACCGTGGTCTGAGTTCCAGATCTGGTACCTTGAAACTCACAGCAGGCATGTGTGCGTGCGTGCCCAAGATCCCAGGAAGAGAATGAAGGAGAAGGGATTTTGGTATGGCCATCCCCCCAAGGGGTGATTTTTCACTTTCCCTCTTACTGTCTCTCCTGCGAGCGCATGTGCCCTATGGCAAAAACTTTAAAAAAAAAAAACACTTTTACATAGTTCAATCTGAACTTTTCTTTAAGATTTTTTATTTAGTATTATTTAAAAAAATATATTTATTTATTAGTTAGTTTGTTTGTTTATTTATTTAAATTTGACCAGAGAGGGACAGGGTGAAAGAGAGAGAGAGAGAGAGAAAGCAAGCTGCCAGGTCCGGAACTTGAACTGTGGTAAAGCCATGTGGGAGTCCAGCATCCTTAACCACCATGCCACCTGCTGGCGCCATGCTGACCTTTTATAAAAAAGAGAATTTATCTCAGAGAGCAGCAAGGTTGACAGGATCTCTCCCCTGAGTGTAGACAGATAGTGAAATGGAAGGGAAGTGGATCTTGGCTTAATCCAGCATGTGCCACGTTGGAGGCTGTAAGACCCAGAGGCTGCCCACACGATGCCTTCATAAAGCTGCCTTTTGATATTTTCGGTCAGTATTCTGGTTAGTGCAGGAAGTTAAGCACCTGTGTGTGGGAGGAGTGATAGTTTTAGGGTTGGAGACCTGATGAGGAAGGTGAGCGACAGGGGACGTGTACATGTGACTCTGGGAGTCGGGCACGGCTCTGAGCTGACTTGACCAGTCATCCCTCTCCTGGGAACCTTTGTCGTCTCATAAAGTGAGGCACAGCCGGGACCATCTGGTGGTGTGGTGGTTAGGATGGCTGGATTCCACATGGCCGGCTTTGAGGTTCTAGTCCTGGACCTGGAGGATGGGGAACACTGGACGCGTGTGCATGCATGCCCCAAATCTTTAAGGAACAAGGAGGAGAAGGGATTGCAGCGTGGCCATCCCCTCTGTCTGGTCATTTCTCATTTTCTCTCCCTCTTTCTCTTTGTCTCCAGCAAGTGCATGCACCCTAGAGCACAACTAAAAACAAACAAACCAAAACAACAACAACAACAAAAAAAAATGGTGAGGCACAACTAAATCAGGAATGGTGAGAACATTTTCTCTCCCATTGATTGGTAGAGGCTGCCTGCCCAGAGAGCTGTACTAAAGGATTCTGAGGTCCAGGAGGGACTGACGAAGAAGGGCGCTGACAGTTAGCAGTGTCTGCCACGGGCACAAATCTGACCACACCTGTGTGCCAAACGCTGACCATCTCTGTGTTAAGGGATTCTGTAGCCCCTTCCCGAGAAATCCGAGACTCTCTAAAACGCAGGGCCCAGAACTAGTTTGGCTGCTAATTTGCTCTATGACTTGCCAGTCACTCGCTTGCACAAGTCCCCTTGTGGTTTAAGGCGCTGTAGCTGAGTTGTGGTCTTGCGACACTGACATCATTGACAAAGGACCTTTTTCATGAACCTGCCCTATTCAACGTTACATGTATCTGACTGATTGTGCTCAGATAGTCATCGGGTTGCACATGAAGAAAGGAAAAGCAAGCGTGCATCTATAAAAAGTTCTCAAATCCAGGCGTGTCATTCCCTCCCTCCCGTAATTCTCAATTCCTGACATACAGTGGACAGAGTAGGGTGCCGGTAAAGGAGGAAGACTGGACCCAAACTTTCTGGATTTTTAAAAATAATTATTTATTTAATTTTATTTATTCATTCATTTATTTTAATTTGACCAGACACACACACACCGAGAGAGAGACTGAGAGAGAGAGAGAGAGCGAGCCACCAGGTCCAGGATTCAAACCATGGTTGGCCATGTGGGAGTTTCCAGCACCTTAACCACCACACCACCTGATGGTCCCTCAAACTTTCTGGATTTGAATTCCAGCCTTGTAAGCTGCTTAATCTATCAGTGCCTCATATTCTCACCTCTAAAATGGGGACAATGAGGCCAGCAGGTGGCATGGTGGTTAAGATGCTGGACTCCCACATGGCCAACCATGGTTTGAGTCTCAGATCTGGCAGCTTGCTTTCTCACTTTCCCTCTCTCTCTGGTGAGTGTGTGTGCCCTGTAACAAATAACAAATAATAATGATGATGATTTTAAAAATTCTTTTAAAAATGTATGTTAAAGACGGGTGTGGCTGTCCACCCACCTAGCAGGTGCTGTGAGGATGAAATGTGTGGTACACGGACAGCACTTGGGACAGCCACCTGCTCACACAGTAAGCTGTTGCAGCCACCGCTGCTGGCATGGCTGCCCTACGCTGTGGTGGGAAAATGCCCTAAACCAGGGGTCAGGACACTTGGCCTCCAGTCCTGACACTGCCCCAGGACTGTGAGCCCTTCAGCGAGTGGCTTTCCCACTCCTGTGTCAGGTTCTCTGGACAATGGCAGACGACCCCTACCCACTGCCTCGCTGCTCTCTAAGCTGGGAAATGGGTGTGAAACGCGGCACTTAATGAGCCCCGGTCAGTGCAGGAGGGGCCCCGGCCGGCCCTCCTTGAGCAGTGGCTGAACCCCTCTCCTCCTCAGCACCCAAGTCCCCTGGGGAGAAGACTCGGTATGACACGTCGCTGGGGCTGCTGACCAAGAAGTTCATTTACCTGCTGAGCGAGGCCAAGGATGGGGTCCTGGACCTCAACTGGGCGGCTGAGGTGCTGGATGTGCAGAAGCGTCGCATCTATGACATCACCAATGTGCTGGAGGGCATCCAGCTCATCCGGAAGAAGGCCAAGAACAACATCCAGTGGGTGTGAGTGCCTGCTGGGGCCACCAGCCAATGGGTGCACACGCCGTGGGCGGAGCCTGGGTCAACAGCCAGTGGGTGTGGATGTCAGGGGCCAGGCTGAGCAGCACCCAGTAGGCTTGCGCTGAGGGCTGGCCAATGTCTTTAAGAGCAGCTGGCCAAGCAGGCAAAGGTGCCATTTCTCACCCATAGAATGGCCCTAGCAGGTGTTGAATCCTTCTTGTTGAGTGGGATCTCAAGATTCCCTCATTTCTAGCTTGGGGAAGTTACCTGGGGGTGGAGTGGACATAACTCAGACTCTTTAGGCCCTGAGATAAGAGTACTCCAGACTCCCGGACCAGCAGTTAGTGTAATGGCTATGTCGCTGGGCTCCTATGTAGTCGACCGTGGTTCGAGTCCCGAACCCGGCGGCTTAAACTCACGCTGGGCGCGTGTGCGTGCGTGCCCAAGATCCCGAGAGGAGAATGGAGGAGAAGGGATTGCGGCGTGGCCAT